CACACACACACACACAGACACACACACACAGACACACACACAAACAACATATTCAAAAGACAGCACTCAATTCCTTCTGTCCCCTAATCCTGTTCCTCTCCCATCTTCCTCATTTCAGAGATTGGCAACACTGTCCTCACAAGCAGCATAGCTGAATCCACAGAGTCATCCCTGATTCCTTTCATCCCCTCGCCTCCACATGGAACCACTGCAGGGCTTTTGGACCCACCTCTGAGCCCAGCTCGAATCTGACTCACTCTGCCATCTACTCCATGTCCTCCTGACACACCTGTGTCTCTCCTCTGTCCTGCCGCAACAGGCTTCTACTGGTCTCCCCAACGATAAACCAAAGTGTCACTTAAAAAACATGAATCGGTTTGAACCCTCCATGATTCTCAATTTTATTTAGCCAAACTAACAGTGATTAGTCCTTGTGTTTCGCGTACCCAGCTGTGGCCCAAGCCTCTGAGCTACCTCTGTCTGATGTTCCAGTTACCCTGGACTCTCTCCTGCTCCTTGGGCACATCTGACTGTCCCCACCAGGGCGTCTGCATCTGTTCCCTTCGTCTGGAGCACTCCTTCCCCAGCCTTCCCTACTGGCTCCTTCTCAGGCTCCTGTCTGAGACCACATGTCATCTCTTTGGAGTGGCCTTCCTGATCACCATGTCCCATCAGCCACCTTGGTTTCCTTGGCAGCACTTGCCGCTGCCTTCCCAGCTTACTAGGTTATATGCCCCCCTTCGGGAGTGTTAGTACAGCAAGGGCAGAAGCCTGCTTTTTCGCTGCCGTGTGCCTCGTGGTGAACCGCTGCCTCCCTTCCAGTAGTCACCCACTATATTCTTGAGAGTGACCAAAAAGTGCGCAATTATATGTCCTGAAAAGCGCTGTGCTCAGATTCTAAATCCTGTGACCAGATGAAGGTGAGGAACTGTAGCTGCCCCAGTGGTCATGAGTTTATTTGCATTTTATGCTGTAGGTAGAGGGCAGATTTGGGAGTCTGACTCCCTATGTTTGAATCCTTGACTCCCAGGTGTTTGTGTGTGTGTGTTTACATGCGTATAGGTGCCATCTTGGTCATCACTTAGCCTCTTAAAACTTCACTCTCTTCAACTATAAAATGGGGTGATTTTAAGTTTTCACATGAGTGAGACCATGCAGTGTTTAACTTTCTGTTTAAAAAACTGACGTCATAGAAGTAGAAAGCCGAACAGAGGCTAAGAGGAGCTGGAAAGGGGATGGAGAAGGGGGGATAGGAAGAGACCATTAAAAATGACAGCTGTAACTGTTAAAAGGAATACATTCCACTGTTTCATATCACTATAGGATGACTATAGTTCACAATAATACCTTATATGGTCTTAAATAGCTGGAAGGGGGAATACCAAGTGCTCTCAACACAAAGAAATGATAAACATTTGAGATGATGGATATGCTAATTACCCTGATCTGATCACTATATGCAATATGTATCAAAAATGTAATTACATTGGTAACAGAGATACCCAACAATGTTTGATGTCTCAGTAAGTTCAGCGGTGTCACATGGAATGTGTACAAGTATTATTTGTCAATTTAAAAAAATAAAAATTTTTTAAAGAGAGTGATTTTTGTAAGGATGAAATGAGATGATCTCTGTAAAAATGAAGAACAGGGCTTAAAGGGATGCTAGCCACTGTTCTTATGCTGCAATTTCTTTTGCATCATTCTAAAACTTGATGCATGATGAGACAGTGAAATTTAGAGTTTCTAATTAATAGGTTGTTAAACTTTTAGAGAAGGCTTTGCTGAGATTTTAATTTCAGAAAGAAATTTTTCTACCCTTTGATAGATAGGCTGCCAATGACCGCTGATGTAGTAACAACATGCTTCAGAAAGCAATTCAACAGGAATAAGGAAGACTCTAATTTAGTGCTAGAATAAGTAAAATACAAAAATTTCTTACTTTGAGTCATAAGTTGAGGCTAAGAATTTATCTGAGGTTCCCTTCCACTTCACATAACTGTTCTTAGGGATAAACACATTAAAATCTTTTGTTTTTAAAAAATTACTCATATTTCACAAGGCCAAGGAGCCAGCTTTCTAAAGCACTTTGTTAGGCTTAGCAGATTCAATCCTCACAACTCTTCATTCTTGCCATGCCCAGCTTCCTTACCCTCCCTTCAATTTATCTAAAGTCACGTATGATCTATCTAAAGTCAGAGACACTCAATCATGTTGGATATCTCGGTAAGTTCAGCAATGTCACATGGAAAGCTGTGGACTGGAAGAAATCCACTATCTCTGTTCAAGTCCTGAACATGGAAGATACATGGCATATAGAACTAGAGGTATACTTTTCTCATATTCAGCATCTCATGCAGATGATTTGAAAGGACTGGCAGCTAAGAGGCTTTTATACAGGAGAACCACATTTAAAGTTAAAGATCAGTGTGGTGAGAGTTTGAGTCTATCTGAGTTAGATTCTGCAGCTGGTTTCAAGAGGCAATGATATATCTCATTTTATATGATATATATATGATTTTTTATATATCTTATATATCATGCATTTAACTTTTATAAGTTCTTAAAATACTTTCAATTTCTCTTATACCACTTATTATAATATTAATTTATCATTTTATATTCTGGTGTTTTTTTTTTTTTTTTTAAGGCTGAGTTTTGCTCTGGAGTCTCAGTCTGGAGTGCAGTGGTAGGATCTCAGCTCACTGCAGCCTCTACCACCCAGGTTCAAGTGATTCCTGTGCCTCAGCTTCCTGAGTAGCTGGAACTACAGGCACCCACCATCATGCCCAGCTAATTTTTGTATTTTTGGTAGAGATGGTGTTTCACTATTTTGCCAGGCTGGTCTCAAACTCCTGACCTCAAGTGATCCATTCTCCTTGGCCTCCCAAAGTGCTGGGATTACGGGTGTGAGCCACCACACCTGGCTTTTTTTTTTTTTTTTTTTTAATGTGTTTCTCTGCTGTTAGATTGTAAACTCCTTGATACCAGGGATTGTCTCTTAACCACATTTATACCCACACTGTATGGTACTTAGTAGGGTCTTAATGTTGGTTAAATTAAGCTGATAGACTTTTACTTAAATCTAATGTGATTTCATTTAATCTTTGTAGTATAGAAGCAGCACATCCCAAAATTTATCATATTTCTAACAATCTTGCAAGCAAATGAAGAATTTCAATTAAAATCGCTCTATCCAAACTTGGAGACAAATCTGATCATCATTTATCAGACAGGATTTTTACAGAAATTTAAGTTTCCTTCACTGTATTCTAAGATGCCTTAAGAAGTTTGCTATATAACCCACCCGTGATAATACTGCTAACTCATTAGTGAAATTTTAATTATCTTTTTGTCATTAATTTTTCATTCATGCAGCACTTTAAAATACCTATCAGTATGAGAGAGTGGTTAATACCGGCACTGGAGCAAGACTGTCTGGGTTAAAATTCTTGTGTGACTTTGAACACATTTCTCTTGCCTCTCTGGGCCTCAGGCGTAAAAAGGGAACACTAATAATGCCTCGTAGGCAACGCCAAAGTGTAAATGATTATGTGCATGTATGTGAGGATTTTATAAGTATCATGTAAGTATTCGTTGTTACTACATACAGAATGTTTGTTTTTGTTTATATTAGCAGGAAAGGTGCCTTGAGGCACTCCAAAATGCTACCAAAGACACTGTGGAGGTTGCTTTCACTCAAAGTAAAGGGATATACTTTTAGTCATCAGTAAGAGTTACTTCTTATTTTTAAATTTTCCTTTTTTTTATTTAAGAGATGGGGTCTTGCTCTGTCTTCCAGGCTGGAGGGCAGTGGTGTCATCATGGCTCAATGTAACCTCAACCTCATGGGCTCAAGCAATCCTCCCTCCCCAGCCTCCTGAGTAGCTGGGAGTACAGGTACATGCCACTAGGCCAGGCTAACTTTAAAAAAGTGTTTTTTGATTTTTTTTTTTTATTTTTGTTTTTAAGAGACAGGGTCTCAGTATGTTGCCCAGTCTGGTCTCAAACTCCTGGCCTCATGAGATCCTCCTGCCTTGGCCCCCCAAAGTGCTGAGATTACAGGCATGAACTACCTCACCTGGCCCTACTTTTAAAGCTAATTTTTGTGGGTCAGTTCTTAAGGAGCTATAAATGGTGGCTCACATCTTGCCTTCTTCACCTTTACATAATGAAGATATTGGTGCTATTAAATGTTTTTTAAAAAGTGCAGATCTCAAGGATTTTAGTATTCTTTCTGTATTTTAACTGTTATTTTTAAAAGCAACCAATTAACAGAGCACCCATCAATTTATGGATTTAGGAACAGTATAAACACTACAGTGCTTAAAACACTTCCAAGTGTTGCAAATTATTGGTACTGATCAAAATACAATAAAAATGTAAAATATAATGCTTTGATATCAAGTTTTCCAACTCCCTGGAGACTGAATCCTGTCAAAAATGAATTAATAGACAACAGAAAGATCCCATCCCCTGCTGAACCCTCTTTAATATAACATGGATTTTTTTAATATTCTCACCTCTCACAAGTTCATAGTACATTAAGCAGGAATAATGGAGTCTTAACAAAAGAAGCAACATTCTAGAATTTAGTAAAAACTAGAACATTAAAAGTATTCACTTAAAATTCATTTAAAGTAAAATGAATGAGTTCCTGAGTTATTTATCATTTAACTTTGCTTGATATGGTACTTCAATTATGTTCCCATGCTTCATTTACTAGAGAAAGATAAAAATAATTTGGATACCTTACATTTTAAATAAATCGAGTTAATGTAGTGGAAACATTCTACATTGAAAAGAACAAATGTTGGCATTGGAGATAGTTGATGGGTGCCTAACAGTTCCATTTCTAAAGATTCTCAAGGAAATGAAGTTTGAATTAGAGCACTGTTGTACCGTTTGCATTGGAAAGGCATATTCACACTCCCTAGAATACTGGAGTGATTAGAACATCAGCACCTCTTTATCCCCCATTACCAGGCACCCTTCCTTACCTTCAATGAAGACCTCAGCAGATGTTGTGTCTGAGCCGCTGGGATTCGTGGCCAAACAGGTGTAGCGACCTGTGTCGTCCTCAAAGGCCTCTGCTATGATCAGGGTATGGAGGTCCCCACCCTCACAGTGGATTTGGATATCAGGAGTGTTGTGCAGTTCTTTCCCTTCACAGAACCATCTTCAGGCCAAATGGAGGTCAAAGGATAGGAGGGAAAGAAAGGAAATGGTGATGTTTAAAACAATTAAGCAGAAGTGAAGGCTGGTGCTATGCAAAATGATGTTTGGTTGATTTAAAAAAAATCAGTGTCAGTGTTATTGATGGAAACTCTACAATTTAGACTGTGAAATTAATGACTAGATAATTCTCACAGGTTTTCTTTGTAAAGCACCTTGTACATTTTATCAACGCAAGTGATGCTGTCAAACTCAGAAAGACCATTTCAGTTATAAAATAAAAGAAACAGAAACTCAGCGTTGTAAAATGCTTTGTAACTAACACCTCCTACATTTATTACAATTTTATCTATTTTTCTTACCTAAAGAAAAATATAAAAGTAATATAAACATTATGTTCAAAATGTTTAATATATGAAAGGAAACTTATCATCATGTTAAAAAAAATCACAGGCAGCAATATTTTTGTTGACCTTAAGACTTCTGATCAGCTGAGCAGTAACAGATTTAATGCCTTTCACATTTCTGATATTTACAAAACCTTCTAGCAGACCGCCTTGGCCTCCAAGATATAGAGAGATATAGCAGTTGTGCTGTAATTCATTCTTGCTGGTCAGCACTTTTCCTTTCCCAAACAATCAGGCCCTTCATGTGGGAGACTACAGGCTGTCAGACTGAACACAGGTTCCCTCTCACTCTCTCTCCTCTTTCCCCAGCACCTCAGATTCTCAGTAACATCTGGTTGCCTTTACCAAGAAACAAACATACAAACCAAAACAAAGCCCAAAGCCACCCTAAAAAAGAAAAACTCCAAATGGGATTTATTATTAAATAAATATGTAGAAATCTGCCACTTACAACTAAAAGGACTGAATTCTCTGGGAAAATATTGTCCATTTAAGCTCTTAATTAGCACTTAGAGATTTTCTCTAAGTTTAATTTCCTATAAAATTAATTGGATTTCACATCCTTTTGTGAAAATGTGACATGGAAGACTAAGTCTTTTTTTCTGTTTTTGGGGTAGAATGTAGGCTTTTGTCCAATTTAATTTGAAAATAGTTAATATAGCAAATGAGTTTGCTACTACTATGAGTATCAACCCTAGAAACCATACTAAATATGAAATATGTGATTCTCACCAAAGAACAGGTAAGACTTTGGGAATTAAAGAACATATGATAACCAGCCAACTGAGCATTCTATGCCAGGCAAGCCATATTATTTTGGAGGAACTTGAGCAGGGCAATATTTCTTGATTCCATAGCACTGTGTGGTTTTCTTTGTTATCACCAAGTCTTAAAGGGCCTTCCAGCCCAGGGTCATCTTCCAGTCTTTTTATTTTCTGTTATCTTTCCAAAGCCATAGTTCAGATCCTCACCCATCAGTACTAACTGTGGCTTTTGTGTTTCAATTGGTCCCTCCATCACCAGCAGACTATAAATTCTTTCTTCCCCTACACACATGATTCCCTAAACTTCAGATCTGTCATTTCCAGCTTTCATGCAACTTGGGCCCTATCGTTTTCTTATACTAATCCTCTGTTTCTGCCGAATATTTGCATGGACTTGCAGCTCCTTACATAGTTCTCAAATATTACATCCCTACTTTTCTGCACCACATTTTCTTCTTTGAATTATCTCCTTACCCTCTTCATTAATCCCATCTAGGAATTACTCTTCCTTAAGATCAAGCTAAAGGCTTCTTCGACAGATAAAAATAAACTGAATATGCACTTACAGAGCTTCTTCTATTTGTAAGGAACTACATTACCTGCTACAGGTAATAGAAAAAAATGCCTGCTAAACTCTGAAACTAGTTGAGTTTGTCTGTACTGTCAATTAGCATATTTCTACCTTCCACAGAAAAGATATAAATCACCTATTGGGGGAAAGTGAAGCTTGAAAAAATGCAACAGAGGTTCAACAGAGAGAAGGATTCATTTCTTTTGGTTAGATGTACTCCATAGGGAAACCTCTGCCAACTACCGAAGTGACTAGTATCTTATCCTCTAACTCAGGGAACTTTCAGCCTGCAAGCCTACTGCCTGTTTCTATATGGCCCTTGAACTAAGAATGGTTTTTATACTTTTAAAGGTTTGAAAAAAAAAATCAAAAGAGGAAGAACAATTTGCGACATCAATTTCACATTTTGGAGTCCTTAAATAAGGTTTTTTTGGGGGGGAGGAACATAACCATGCTCATTTATTTACATATTGTCCATGGCTGCTTTTGCATTACAGGGACAGAGTTACAACATATTATATGGCCCTCAAAGCCCCCAATATTTAGTATCTGGGCCTTTACAGAGAAAGGTTGCCCACTCATGCTTTTTGCTACTCAAAGTGTGGTTCTGGAGCCAGCAGCAGCAGCATCACCTGGCGGCTTATTAGAAGTGCAGTATCTTGGCCGTTGCCCCAATTCTACTGAATTGGTTCAGATCCCCAGGTGATCACGTGCACCTAAAGCTTAAGATATGTTCTGGACCAGAATGACCTGCCTTATAGAGTCTTGGCTCTCCATCTAGGTTGCTCACTTGTTTAACATAGCAACCACTTAAAAAAAAAATTTATATTGTATCTCTGGTCCATTGCATGCCAAAGCAGTAGAAATACTGAAAATTAAAAGGCATACTTAATACATTAATGTGTCAAACATTGTGCTAAAGCCTAGAGAGTAAGTTAATATAAGACCAGGCTGCTACTCTGGAAAAACTTTTATTCCAACAGGATAGAAAGGCCCATCAAGCGCTAATTTCAGTATAACATGGAAAGTTAAGTACCATGGTTGTGACAAAGACAAGGTGCCAAATCCATCTATACCTTTAAAGGTCCAGCGTGGGCCTATGATAGCAGAAACATGATTGTATCCTAGTATATTTCAATTAAGCAAAGCCATTAATTAGTTGCACCCTTCATCAATGAATTTTCTACATCATTTCATGAAATATTTTAAACATAATCATTAAATATACAGTCTTCCATTTAACAAAACAACCTTAAAGTTTCATCTCCTCGTACAGATGAGGAAGCTAGATGACTTTCCTAAAGTCACAGTTGAGCCTTTTTGCTCTGCCATTGCTAGTTCCGATATGCAAATGATTCCAATCACAGATCAAACACACATTGACCTAAATATTGGCCAGAAACTATGCTGCCCTTTCTGTTTCTAGGGAGAGCCTGTCATCCAAATATTTGCACATTTTATTCTCCTCCTCTTGGGTCACACCCTATGTTACCACATTTTCACACCATTGAACTAGTCACCTGACAGGCACTTACGTCAATAACTGACTTTCCCTGGTTGACAGTTGCTGTCTCCGAAAGCAATATGCATGGGTCATGTTAACTATTTCAATTATACCTTATTGGGCAAATTTATTCTTTTCTCTAAATTATTTCTTCTACTTTGTGTTACAATCTGAGATGATGTTTCAATTTTATTCACTGAGCTGAAGAACAAAACATATGCATGTACAAAAAGCAAAAACAGGTCAGCCTAGTGGTTTACACGCACGAAGCATTTTGCCGTATGCAGTTGTGGAAGAGTTTTATTACATAATGAACCATTTCATATGACTAAATAGATAAGTTAGACTAAGGTAAAAAATCTATTCATTGTCTTAACTGTTCTGCCAGTATTAAGGTATATTTCAAGCACTTTTTTGCACTTACTATTTTCTTTAGCCTTAATCTTACCATCATCACTCAGTTTATAACAATCTTATCCTGTAAAGTACAAATTCTATGGAGAAAACATGACAGAAAAGTATTCTGCAACATATTCATAGATTGTTAGCAGGTACTCAATGAGAAAAAAATTTCACGGTCAAACACGCTTAGTAAATGGTTGGATTGGGACAATGTTAATTTCTTTTCTGCAGGACTTCCCAGGGCCTCAAGTGAGGAAATGTGAATTGCAAATATCAAGGAGTGAGATGTAACATGTATGCAGCATTTTACAAATCTATTAGAGCACATATTTCTTCATTGTTTGCTTTTTCATCAGACCCATGCTTTAAAGTAATGTGGGGCTGATAATAAGCATTTTAAAGCACCAACTATGTGCAATACTCTGTGGATCAATTTTAAAAATTAAAAATTGCATTTTTTTAAACAATCAAGTTGATTTCTAGTTGGGAAAATTGGCATAAATGCATTTGATATCAAAGAATGGCATACGGAAACAATACAGATGATATCCGACAGGGACAAATGATCAACAGTCAAATGAATGAGGTTAATTTTTTTTTGAGTACAGAGAGAAAAAGAACAGAATTTTGCATGTATTGAATTTTGCATCTAGGACATTGCTGACCCTGGAGGGACTGCCCCTCCCAGGACTGGTCAGTTCCTAGAGATGTAAAGGACCTTTCTGGGAGCATGTGTTCCATATGCAAACCAATCAATCCAGACCCCACACACTCAGCACCTGCTCTACTGGGTTCTCAGACTCAGGGCCACAGCTTCCCTCTCCTCATCAACCCAGGGCCAGATACCAGACAACCAGAAACAGCCTCTTTGCCTGAGAACCCACTGAAAGTGTTCAAAAGAGGCAGTCCTAACCTGCTTACCTCACCTCACCTGTGCTTTTCCTGAGGGTTCCTAACAAAGGCTCCTTCCAAAGCTGCCCCTTGCTCCCTGGCCTTCTGACCAATCCTGGAGCTTCCCCTGCAGTCCCCTGCGGTGTGCATACCCCTCCCCTTGGGAACTTCAAATAACAAACTAGTATTTTTCCAATGACAGTCATCTCCTCATCTGTTGACCTCACCATATCTGAATAGTAATCAAGCCTACATTTTCACACAGGGCACATTTGATAACAGAGCTTATCAAAGAAGAATATGCTTACAGATGAAGAACTGAACAGATAAATAGTTTTTTATCAGCCACACTTTCTGCTTTAAAATGTATATGGATAGAGGCTTATAGACTTTCAGCAACTCAAACTGAAGTGCATTTAAAACCCATACAATTAAACTCAAAATAATCTAGTTAGTGCAAATATC